TAATAATAATATTAAACTAAGAGAATAAATAAAGGTCAAATAAAATAATAATTAACTGCAGGTTAGCTAGATTTATATATCATAACCTAAACTATGAAAAGCTATGAGTTGCTAGTTAATTAAAGTTATTAGTAACTAACAGAGTTATGGTAACTAATAACCTTTTCTGAATCCGATTGTAATGCAATAATGTGCATCTTTTGTAAAGCTGCTTTGAAACAATAATTATTGGGAATTACAAATAAACGATTTAAATAAAAAAGTAGTAATGTTAAAAATAAATGGAGAGTATAAATCAGTGGTCTCAAACTCAATTTCTAGAGGACCGCAGCTCTGCAGATTTTATCTCCAACCACCTCCAGCTCACTCCTGCTTAACAGTCTGGAGTAGTCCTGAACACATTGATTAGTTGGATCAGTTGTGTTTGAGTAGGGTTTGGAGCAAAACTATGCAGAGCTGCGGCCATCCAGGAATCAAGTTTGAGTCCTGGGTATAAATTAATTAATTAATTAAATAATACAGAATAAAAATAAATAATTGATACTTAAATCAGGTAAAGGGGTGTTTTCCTAGATTGACTCACTCAGATCTTGAGAGACTAGAATAATTTGCAAGACGTGTAACATATTAATAATAGGTGATGAACTTCACTTTTACTACGCTTACTCTGCTAGGAAACCAGTGCAGATGCTATTGTAAAGTGTTACCAAAGAATCTCAAACTCCTGTTGCAATACATTTTTTATACACATCGATGTTCAGTAACGCTGCAGCTCAAACTCTCACCTTCGTTGTCGTCTCAAGTACAATACCATGGTGAAGCAGCTCCAGCACCATTTTAACATGGCCTTCCTTGGAGGCCAAATGCAGCCCGTTGAGTCCATTCTGTGTAGAGAAAAACAGCAGAGCAAAACTCACTCTGAAGGTTATCTGACCTCAGATCAGATCATATACGCTCTCCCTTCCACAACCTAAAGGAGAAACTCATGCAGGCGTATCCAGAAACACAGCGCAAACACAGCAGCCGATGAGCAGAAGCAGAAACAGATCGAGTATTATTCGGCAAACACACAAGGAATGCTTTTTCGGGAGAAACATCAACACAAGAACACAGAATAACATTTAATTAAGCGGAAAATAAAGTAAACAATACAAATTCTGAAGTTTTATATATATATATATATATATATATATATATATATATATATTAGGGCTGTCAAATTATTAAAAAAAATTAACGAATTATCACGAAACGAAACGCCGTATTTATTACAGAAATAAAAGGACAGGCATTAAATGCCATTTGGATTTCAAAACAATCAAAGCCAATAACAAACAAAAATGATTTCTATGTTGGAATCTAAGTGGACTACACACACGCACGCCCGCACGCAATACAGCGGGAGGAGGGATCCCTTCAGGTTCATCAACACGCACAATGGCGTTCATCAAATTTGCTTAAACTGCGCGCTCTAAAGTCTGGCTGTATTTTACAAGCAGGGATTCTGACACAGCAACGTGAAACTTATGCACTGTGGGGGCTCATGGACGCATGATTAGAGAATAGGGCAGAGAATAGGGCTGTCTGACAGCTTGCGACTTCATCTGCCATTTACATGGCATTTACATGGACACCAATACTCCGCTTTTATGATTAAGATAATACTGATCAAGAGTCTAACATGTAAGCAGCGATTTTTAATACCTTAAAGGATCACGGGAGTCCCAAAATGCTGAGTTTTTTCTTTCCGTTCGCCATGCGGTATCAAACGCCATTTAAACATCCTGAATAAAAATCTGCTGAATGCGAGTGAACTGCTGAACTGCTGTTAAAGTCTAAAGATTAAAGATGAAACACCCGAAATTGCATGAAACTCTGGAGGAAACGCAGGATAGCCTGATGATGCGGCATTAATTATTTTATACTGAAACTTTCCTTCAGAAAGCGCGTCCTTGGTCTTCTTTCTTTGCAGGTTTAACACACGCAGGGCCGGGGCAAGCTGAACTGGCGCTCTAGGCAGACAGCAATCCCGCCACCCTGAACCCGAAAGTGAAAAAGAAAGTGACCTTTTTGCTGATGAAAGTAAGGGCCGTGAGGGAGAGGTTCGGTGTAGCTGATAAAAGTGAAGCCAGGGGGTTCGCACGCTATTCTGCTGCCAAAGGCGCCCGCCTAGGTCGCCTCTATGCACGCACCGTCCCTAAATACATGTTGGCCACAACAGGAAATTAAAAAAAACTGCAACTGCGTATTTTTTTTAAAGCTTTAAATATTTAAAATTAATCACGTGCATTACCGCGTTAATTTTGTCAGCCCTAATATATATATATATATATATATATATATATAAAGATGATGTCACAATTATAATTTTTTTCTTTTTAAATATTTTCCAAATTATGTTTAACAGATTCAGGAATTTTTCACAGTATTTCCTATATTTTTTTGTTCTGGAGAAAGTCGTATTTGTGTTATTTCTGCTAGAATAAAAGCAGTTCTTTCTATTTTAAACCAGGAATGCCCAAAGTAAGGCCCATGGGTCAAAGTTGACCCACGGTATTCTTTGAGTTGGCCCACCATCCTATCTGAAAACTGAGGGAGAGTGATGAAGATGTGGTTGGGGTGAATGCCTTTGGCAAAGATAGTTATTTCGATTTGAATGTAACCCTTTTGTTTCTGTGTTTTATTGCTGGGCTAAAAGTCTACTGAAATTAAATGTTTCAATTAAAGGGAACCTAGGTTACCCCTTTTTCCAGATTTAATATAAATCTTTTGTGTCCCCAGAATGTGTCTGTAAAGTTTCAGCTCAAAACACCCATCAGATTATTTATTATAGCTGTTTAAAGTTTCTTTTTTATAGCTGGTAAAACCTTGTTGCTGTTTTTTTTTTTTGTACTGCTCCTTTAAGGCTAGTCCTCCACGCCCACCATTTCCACGTGCCTGTCAGCAGCCTCAGGAATCAGATCTCATGTAGCGTTTGTGAGGAAAACTACAGTAAGAACTTTACCAATCAGTATTTGAAGCATTTGTTTTGGAGTTGCAACCATAAGTCACACACAGTTGTTACAAAGTTTACGCACACACACAGCAAAGACACACACACAGCACAGCAGGCACGTGCACACATAGGGTTCAACCTGTGCAGTGCACATTCCCTTTTTTATTCTTGGATAGAAAGTGCCCTTCCAAAATGATC